AGTTCAACGTCAGGGTGTTCAAGCTGAACCATTCTTCTTGATTTAAAAGTATTAGATGCCAACAACATGACACCACCACCCCTTCTTCCATCATTTCTGTCCTTCCTATAAATAGTAAATCCAGGACAGTGCAGTTCTGCATCGGCCACACATACGCATTTAGCCTTTAGTTTCAGAGAAACAAACAAAATCAAATGAACTACTTAAAAGATGACCTTGTAATTCGGAGTTATATACGTCCAATTTATTTTTTATGCTTCTGATATTCTGATAGTAGAACTTGGGTGTGTTATTTGGGTTACCTTGTGTGGATGATCTAATAGAGTTAGATTCGTGTCTGTTTGAATCGGCCATTGGCCCAGGGTTGACTTCAATGTCTCCGCATTTAGCAAGAGTTGGCTGGCTGTGTAGTGTGGAACCCTCCCTCCAATGTACTTGATTGACCAAATATCCCTCCGCACCTGCTTGGAATTTCTGTTGAAAGCAAGCAAATTAATGACGCTTGACCAATATCCACACGGCTGGTCATCGTTGGTAGGTATTGTGTGGAACGTGTAATAATCCACTGTTGGGCCTAGAAAATAGCTGATATATTGAGGTAAATATTCTTCAAACAACACAATATTACGACTTCCTGTACAGTGCACAACACTAACATTCGGTTTAGGTTGATAGATGCAGCTATTGAAAGTAAGTTTGTGTGTTAAATTGCAAACAAACAAGTAAAAGTAGAGAGCAATAAAAAAGCAGCTCCTTCTGGTAGCCATCATACTGTAATTTTTTATTATTAAAATTGTTTATTATAAAAATCATACTGTATTATTTATTATTAAAAGTTATAAGAATAACCTTAGTAAGTGTATGATGAATTTAAATGAATACGTTGCTTTAATATAAGCATACAAGAGCAAAAGGTATATATTTGTGTCTACTGGGCTAAGAATTAATTGTGAGGCCCCAGCCACTCTTGACCGTCACCCTCAATACACTGTATACAATAAAGTAACACATGATTTATTACGACAAAAGGCAAATGGACCGTCGCACACGATCGGTCCCTAAATTAATTTCCATAGTAAAAATTCTTAAAAAGTGGCCAATAAGCCAAGCGGCAGGGTGCCGTAGCGCACTAGTGTATTGGAGAAGGAAGGGGTGGCAGGCGGGAAAAAGAATTTCCAAGGAGTTACCGGTGCACGGAGCGAGGTAATTACAATCCGCAACGAGAAAAGGGGCCCGGTTATGATTCCACGACACGAGGAAATGAATTAGGGTGAAATTATTACGCCGACCGAGTGCACCAATTGGGGTGTGCCTACGCCCCTTGACACAAAGAGTTTTTCCGCTGGTGTCGGAAAATTTATTTTTGCTTACGGTCACAATGCCCAAATAAAACACAAGACCACATGACATAGTTTTGGGTATTAATTATTAGAAAACTCGATTGATCTGAACAAAACACTCTAGGCGCAAATATACGCCATTCATAGATTATATAAAAATAATGACATAACTTATGGGATGCCACTAAAAGTGGACCATTTAAAGTTAACCTCGTACCGCTTTAGAAACAAGGGAGGGAGGGAATGTAATACTAGCTTCACGCTCAATGAATTACGTGATTTTTGGAAATTATTAAGAGCACCTCATGTGATGCGTCATCGTGATGCTGTAAGAAGCAAAGAGGATGAATTGTGGGATTGCTCCTGCATAAAAAATGTAATCGCCTCCCTCAATCGTTATCTTTATTTTTATTATTTATTAAATAATTTTTCAATAGTACAAATGCAGCAATTCATTTAATAAATATAAAGAGTTTAAACCACATGTTTCGATGGTTCAACCATGCCTATCAATAGAAAGTACAGTAACTACTGGTAAACACTAAGCTAGGGAGTAATAACAAGAATAAGGTGATACAGTTTGGAGCAATGGGAAGACAGAATGAATGAGGCAACCCTTGACCGCTCTGACGTACCGTAACACCGCGGTATCAATCCTGTGAACTATGGAACGCCGTTACTGCCTTCTGTATTGATGTTTCATCATGCTGTTAATCTCAATCGACATGCTGTTGTTCTCAATCAGCATTATGTTGTTCCCAATCGACATTACGTTATTCTCATTTTACATCATGTAATTCTCATTTTACATTATGTTATTCTCAATCGACATGCTGTTGTTCTCAATCGACGTTACGTTATTCTCAAATGACATGCTGCAGTTCTCACTCGACACGCTGCGGTTCTCAATCGACATTCTGCGGTTCTCAATCGACGTTACGTTGTTCTCAATCGACACGCTGCGGTTCTCAATCGACATGCTGCGGTTGTCAATCGACGTTACGTTGTTCTCAATTGACTTGCTGTTGTTCTCAATTGACATGCTGCAGTTCTCAATCGACATGCTGCAGTTCTCAATCAACATGCTGCAGTTCTCAATCGACATGCTGTTGTTCTCAATCGACATGCTGTTGTTCTCAATCTATATGCTTGTTCTCAGTCGACATTACGTTATTCTCATTTTACATCATGTAATTCTCATTTTACATTATTTTATTCACAATCGACATGCTGTTGTTCTCAATCGACATGCTGCAGTTCTCAATCGACTTACGTTTATTTTCGTTTGACATTATAGTCCGGTGGCTTATGCCATCCCGTGGGAATCTCGTGATCATTTTTTTTAAAAATTATATACTTTGAAGTATGCTGAATCGAATAAATTGAGTCGCCAATTTTCTTTACGCTCATCTTCATATGCAAATTAGCTGAAATATGCAAATTAGGTCTGAAAATGTAGGGTACTTATATCTTGGTAACCACATGTCGTAGAAAGTTGTTTTTTTCTTAAAGTTGTTCAGAACATGCATGTTTCTTTTTACCCTAATGGAACATTTTCGTCAAAGAGGACCGGAAGTGCCATTTTGCCGACTTTATTAGCATAAATATGCAAATTAAGGGTGGAAATATAGGGAGCTATATCTTGAAAACCACTGGTCGTACAGAGTTGCTTTTTGCAGTAAAATGTTAAAAATATGCATATTTATATTTACTATAATGGACAATTTTCTCTAGAAATGACCGGAAATTGCGTTTTTGACCTTTGACCTCAACTTTGCGTGATTGTAACATCTTGGCAACCACTGGTCGTATAGAATTGCTCTTTTTAACAAAATGTTTACAATATGCACATTTATACTCTAACAGAATAATTTCTCAATATCAACCAGAAACTGTTTTATTGACCTTTCAACTCTTTGCAGTATATAGGCCTATTATATATACCTAACGATGACTTATGGTCGAAAGTATTATTACAACAATGCTATTATTACTTTAATATACATGTATAGGCCTATATATATTACATGAAATTTCTGGACCGCCATTGATCCTATACTTGTATGGTTTCTATATCTTCTTCATCACTAACTTGGATTTCTGACTGAAATTAATCAGCAACCGCTGTTTGTTGTTCAATGGCTGTTGTGGTTGAAAATTATTTACAAACAAACTGACTTTTCTACCGAAACGATCGGTATCCCCGGTCGAGAAGAAAAACAATTCACCGGGGGGGGGGGGAAGAAAATTTTTTTATGATATATTAGAAGACACTAAAACCGATTAAATTATAAGCCTATGAAATTTTCGTAATTTCCGGGGTTTCAACCCTGAAACAATTCCAGAAACTTTGAGCGACACCCTGCAACGCCCACTTACGCTCTCGTTGCCCACCCCATCGGAGACATCATATCCCCATCAGCCAAATCCTGCCGCTACCGGTCCCGTTCAGAAATAAAATTAATTCACATAGCTTTGTATTGATGCTCTTACTTCGTCATGAACGGAAGGAAACTGTATGAAATAGCATATACCGACGGTATACCACCAGTTGGCATTACTGCAAATTGCCTAGTAACAGTGAATTATAGTGAGAAAATCTTTAAAATATATTTTTATCTTTAAAATCTTTAGTTGCACAATTAATTGATTTGTAAAGCACAATTGGGCATGTTTGCATAACACAGGACTCCTTGGACAAGTTTTCGCTTTTATTGGAGGATTCAATTTTTATTTTTATGAAGTACCGAAATTTAGGCCTGACTAGGCCTAGTAGTAGTAGGTGGATATATTTACCGCAAAGTGGGGCGGGCGGTAGGCCTACATGCCTTAATTTACTACGTGGATAGCGAGATTTTTCGATTGCCATGCAAAGTTAAAATAAAATCCCAAATCCTTCCCCTATTTTGGAATTTAAGGAAATTAATACATTTTTGTTTCTTTGTTGGATCGATTGCAGCAACCCCAAAACCAACATAATGGTATTTCACATTATATAGCATTAATCATCTATAATAACTGCTAACTTCCTACCC